GTTTTTGTTTTTGATGCACAACAGCACAAAGTGTTTGAAAGACATGCAGAATGTATAATATTATTTCTTTATTTTTATTGTGAATAAAAATGTGACAAATCCAACATCAGCAAGATACTTGATTCTTCCACCCATTTTCTAACTGCTTTATCCAATTCAGGGTTGTGGGGGAGCTGGTCCCTAACCCAGCAAACTATGAGTGTTGGGCAGGATACATCCTAGTCGGGATGCCAGGCCATCACAGACACACACACACTCGGGCAATTTTTACAGAAGCCAACTCACCTACCAGTGTGTCCTGGGACTGTGGGAGGAAACCCACACAAACACTTGAAGAACATACAGACTCCATGCAGATAGAACCACGGGTCTGGACTTGAACCCAGGGCCCAAGCGCTGTGAGGCAAATGCTAACCACTGCGTCAACATGCCATCCCACTTCATATTATTCTCCAATGGATTCTTCTAATAATAAATAATGCTACAGTAATTTCTCTGACCAGACATTACATTAATCCAAGGTTAATTAATTGCTTAATGATAAGCACATCTGAAAAGCGGAAAAGGAAGAAATTATTGAATTGCAGTAAATACATTGATGCAAAAAAATGAAAATGCAAAGCAAATTCTGAAGGAAATTTTTATTTAGTCCACACTTTTGGAATATTACAACACATCAACCAACAGCATTGAGGACCACTGGGGGATTTTCCTAAAGGAAGAATGAATCATGTAGGGCACTACACTACTCTTACAGCTTTTTACAGCTCAGTCTAGTACAATTGTTTCCACTAACTAGCAGTGATGGGTCAAGAGAGTAACCTACTCACACAATTAATAGGTTTATTCCACCCTGGAAAAAAAGAAGAAAGAGAACACGTTTCGGCCGTGGAGCCTTCTTCTGGTGTTCTCTTTCTTCTTTTTTTTCAGCATGGAATAAACCTTGTTCCTTTGTAGCCTACGCATGCTGACACAGCTACCCACCTGAACTACTCACACAATTGTCATACAATCCTATCATGTTTACTGCAAGGTTAATCTGCACTTCATTTGAGAGGGCAGTACGCACTCAATAATAAGCAAGGCCATCCAATGAGCATCAGGTGAATCAACACTGGTAAATTGGAGTATCTTGCAGGACAAGACCAAAGGCCCATAACATGCCATTGTATTTATTAAGCAACACTTTTAGGGAGTTCAAGACCCTCTACAGTAAATGCCTATTTACCATTTACCGTGGACTGAATTTTCATTTTACATTTTTTCACATGTAAAATGTCATACTTTTATTGGATCAATGTACTGTGCTTCCACCCCCAACTTTTATGTGTGGCATGTAGGGTACAGAACACTACATTTTTTGATAAGCGCGTATAAACAAATTTTAAATGATTGATGTATTGAATTGATATTTCACTTATGCATACCAGTTAAGAAAACAACGTCGCCCAGTCTGTGGAAGTTCTATATTAAAAGAAGTTTTTAAATAATATTCCCGAGGGATGACAG